TCTCTTAACTACTATACTTTACTAAAAACACGTTGTTATACGTTACTACTCTTATGACCTATTGGCCAATTATAGGTTATGACCTTATGACCTGTTATGACTTATAAAATTTACTAATACATTATGACCACCTTGGTCATATAAAGTTGGATATGACCTAAAACGGCCAACACTGAATTAGACCGTATTACCATATTTACTATATGTATATTAAAAATCTTACATGGTCTTCTTATCTGTTTGATAAATAATACATATATATGCTCTTGGTTCGAGTAGTTAAACGCTTTATATTGCTTGGCTTATTTAATAAATATATCTAATATTATATTAGTATAACACTGCCGGTTTAACAATTTATAAATCTAAGATTTAGCTTAACTATTTAAATGTAGTAGAAACTCAATAAACTCTGCTACTTACTGAACGTTTACCTTTATCTTTATGAAAACTCTTTGGGGAAAGCGATTGAAAACGATTAGAAAAGATCTTTCACTAAAGACACCCAAAATGAAGAAATTTTACTAACCATGGGTTTTTGAACTACAATCATATATCAGATTTTCAATTGCCCATATAAATAATTCGTGTAACAACATTTCCGGAATTTATCGGATGCGAGTTTCTTCTATGCTCCTTATAACAATATAAACAGTAAACATATCCATCCAATTACCATTATATATTATATTATGTGGCAGCACTGTATATGAATTTGAATAATTACTGTATTAAGTTTCATACGTATATAGCTTTCTGCAAACAATATTTAATCGATTTCCTTAAAGCTTTTTAAAAAATATATGAACTTCTCGAATTTAAAATCAGCTGAAAGCAAAATTTCCAATGGCCAAAATTATACTGGCAATTACTATAACATTGGGATGGGTACTGCAGCAATCAAAAAAAAAGCATTTGAATTGCTTTTAAAATCAGCCAAAAGCGAAACTTCCAGTGGTCGAGACATTAGTGATTATTGCAATGAAGATGAGATGGGCACTGCAGAAATCGACAAAAAAGTATTTGAATGGTTTTTAACATCAGCTAAAAGCAAAACTTCATATGACCAAAACATTATTGGCCATTGCTATGAAAATGGGATATGTACTGTAAAAGACGAAAACAAAGCATTTGAATGGTTTTTAAAATCTGCTGAAAATGGAAATTCAGAAGGACAAATTAATGTTGGCCATTGCTATGAAAATGGGATAGGTACCGCAAAAGACGAAAAAAAAGCATTTGGATGGTATTTAAAATCTGCTGAAAATGGAAATTCCTCCGGACAAAACATTCTTGGCCACTGCTATGAAAATGGGATAGGCACGGAAAAAGATATAAAAAAAAGCGTTTAAGTGGTATTTAAAATCTGCCGAAAACGGAAATTCACAAGGACAAATAAATGTTGGCTTTTGTTACCGAAATGCCATAGGAATTTCTAAGAATGAAAAGAATGCATTTAAGTGGTATTTGAAATCAGCTGAAGGTGGAAATCCAGAAGCCCAAAATAATGTTGCATTTTGCTATACATTAGGAATAGGCGTTCCTAAAGATAGTAGGAAAGCATTTGAATGGTATTTAAAGTCTGCTGAAGGTGGAAATCCGTTTGCGCAATATAATGTTGGATATTCCTATGAAAGAGGCAGTGATACTTCTAAAGATGAAAAAATTGCATTTGAGTGGTATTTAAAATCCGCAAAAAATGGGTTTCCTAACGCACAATGTAATCTTGGGCAGTGCTATTACAAAGGCATAGGCGTTGAGAAAAATGATAAAAAAGCATTTGAATGGTTTTTTGAAATCTGCAAAAAATGGCCATCCTCAAGCACAAAGTAATGTTGGATACTGTTATTACGAAGGCATAGGTATTGATAAGAATAATGTGAAAGCATTTGAATGGTATTTGAAGTCTGCTGAAGGTGGAAATGCTGACGGACAAAATAAAGTCGGATGTTGCTACCTCAAAGGCATAGGCGTTTCCGAAGATAAAAAGAAAGCGCTTAAGTGGTATTTAAAATCTGCCGAGGGTGGTGATCCACAAGGACAACTTAATCTTGGGAATTGTTACAGAGATGGTATGGAAATTTTAAAAGATGAAAAAGAGGCGTTTAAATGGTATTTGAAATCTGCTGAAAGTAAACATCCCGATGGACAAGCAAACGTTGGTTTTTGTTATTATTATGGGATAGGCGTTTCTAAAGATGAAAAGAAGTCGTTTGAATGGTATATGAAATCTGCTGATAGTGGAAATTCATATGCACAGTTTTATCTTGGACGTTACTATGGGAGGAGTTATAATGATAATAAAAGAATTAAGGCATTCGAATGGTATTTAAAATCTGCTGAAAACGGAAATTTTAATGCACAAATTGAAGTTGGTTCACGTTATCGAAATGGCAATGGAACAGGTCAAGATCAAGAAAAAGCTATTGAATGGATGCAAAAAGCGAAAAGAAATCTACCTAAGCAAAAAACTTATAAAAGTGGAAATTCTAAAATTGATAACTTTCTAAAAAATGTGTCGCAAGACAACGAATATTCATTATTATGGATTCCATTTTGTGAACTAAGAATCATTGAAGAAATTGGAAGTGGTGGATTTTCAACTGTATATTCAGCAAGGTGGCAGCATTCAGACTTTAATTTAGATATAGTTGCACTTAAATTTCTTCATGGATCTCAAGAAAATTGTGATAGATTTTTAAAAGAGGTTTGTGGTTTTAAATTGAAATTTACACCTTTTAAGTTGCTTCGCTAATAAATGCGCATTGTAGTTAGAGTTATATTATGAAATTGGGCGTAAAAATCCCACATTCTTACAATGTTACGGGATATCAAAGGATGAAGATGCTACTGGTGACTACATATTAGTAATGCAATATGCAGATGCTGGTTCTTTACGTAACAATATATCTTTTGTAGGGCTCATGGGATGGGACGCGAAATTAAATTTGCTGTCCTGTATTGCTAACGATCTCAAACAAATTCATTCTCACAATATAATCCATCGTGACTTACATAGCGGAAATATACTACAAAAAACCCCAATGGACGCATATATTGGTGACTTAGGGCATTCAGAGTTTTACAATCTATTGCCAAAATCTGATAAAACTTATGGAAATATTCCATATATGGCACCCGAAGTTATACTTAAAAAACAATATACTTTAGCATCCGATATTTATTCATTAGGCATAATAATGTGGGAAATATCTTCAGGAATGTGGGCATTTGAAGATAGAAAACATGATTATAAGCTTGCTTTGGAAATTTGTGATGGGTTAAGACCAACTACAGTTGAAGAAACACCACAACTATATGCTGACATTATGAAATTTTGTTTGGATAAAAATCCGGATTTGCGTCCTACCGCTTCACAAATTTATGAATTGATTGAAAAGACCAGAATGATAAATCGAATGATTCCAATTAGAGGATTTAGAGAATGTGAAGAATCAAGTGCAAACAGATGGGCTCGCTATTTCCGGAATCTCTTTCCTGAAACAAATCCTGAAATAGATTGCCATAATATTAATTATGATGATAACATTTCTATTAAAAGTTTTGAAAATACTTTTTCTAACCTAGATAGGTTTTTTGGTAGAAGTAGTGATGATATGTTTATAATTGAAAATACAAACATTTCTACTGAAAGTCAGGAACAACACAATAAACACTAAATGCAAATTTCTCGCTATATGTACAAGTTATTGTTATGATGATAAGATAAAGGGTGTGATCATGGGATGGAAATTATTTTTTCATTTTTTTTTATTTACATATTCAATTTTTTTATATTGATTTATCTTTACTAAAACCTTAATTATTTATAGTGGTGCACCGTAAAACGCTGCATACAGTACGAGCCTTTCAAAAATGTCAATAATATCTTCAGGGTACTATGTGAAGAGGGGATATTATATTAATAATACGAGTTGATTATATAACTGAATCATTGATTCAGCTATTTGATTAGTACCAGGATATTTTCAAAAACGCCAGAATTTACAAATGAATAGTACCCTGGTACTATTCAAAGGGGATACTTCTTCAAGGGTACTGTATGCGGTACCCTTTATACTTCCCGTCAGAGCGTGTCATGAGATATTATTTGTTAGTAAGATATACTGTAATACATTAATAATATATATTTATCATTATATAAAATTATTTAATTGCTTAATAGCTTTAAATTGATATTTTTCAGAGTTGATTTGACTAACAATGGCGCATTTGCATTATGGTGTACGTATGGGATCTTTGCTAGGATTTTTTTTTCTAAACATAGATTTATTATGATTTTCCTAATACAAATCTCGTGTAACTATGGCTCGTAGGTAGCAAAGATCCATATAGTAATATTATTTAAATTATATGGTTGAATACGTATGCTATCTTTAAATTCTAATAATCCTTTTCCAAAGTGCACTAAGCATAATATAGTGATACATATATGAAGATCCGATGATTGACAATCTATATGTCTTATATGACACAACTAACGCCAAGTCCCGGTAATCAGTTAATGTTTACAAAAAAATATAAATATCGGATATGCTAAAAAAATTAAAAGTAACTGTTTTTGTTTGTAATTAAATTACAACGATCACAAGATTAATGATTTTGTTTTTCAAAAAGTATTATGTATTGAAGCCAATGAATTTTACGTACTAATTTTTTAAATAATAAATTTAAAAAAAAAAATTTATTTTATTTTTTTTTTTAAGATCACCCACCCAATTTTATTAAATGACAAAATTATTTTTTAAAATGACTATAAAGATTATCACAAAGAAACATTTTGTTTAAATCTAGATTATTAAGTTTTTTGTTTTTTTTAAAGTTAATTTGTGCACATAACTTTTACAAAATTAATTTAATCAAAGTACTACTATATTTCTAATTACATAATAATAGATTATCTAATACTGTACTAATTTAATCCTACTATGATTTATTTTATAAATAAATAATTTTTATACATTTTATACGTTCATAATTTAAAGCAACGTAAAGGCAATAGCAATAATAGCTAAAGACAAACCAGCAAAATTAGAAATTGGATGATTAAAATCTCCACTTGAACTTGAAGCAGCAGTGGGAGCTTTAAGTGTTCCTGATGCGGTAGGTGATGAGTTAGATTTTGATGGAGAGTTAGGTGAAGGATTTGGGTTTGATGCAGGAGATGACGCAGGTGCTTGCGTGGCAGCTAGAGCAACGCCAGCGAGATTAGTGGAAGGAGCATTGGTAGGAGTGGCAATGGTGGGAGTGGTACTAGTGGAATTGGTAGTGGTAGAATTTGAACAGATTTTAGGATCAAAACTGGTGCCACCTGTTCCTTTGATAGTAAATAAACCAGAATAGAAGATATTGCTTGAATTACTTCCATCAGTGTATCTAATGAAGCTAATAAAAATTATAAAGATTTTTTTTAAGTTAATCCAGATTAATTGTTACGTTATTATAAATGTACGTATATACATACTAGCATGAAGCCTCTGGACCCACGGTTGGGGAAACGGTGTATGGTATGGATTGAGTAGTTGCACAATCTACAGCTTTTGCAATGTTTGCAACAAAAACTTGGTTTTGTGAGTTGCCTTTATAAATTTAATAGATTTAATTAAGATTAGTATAAAACATTGAATTTACAAAATATACAAAAATGATTAAGAAAAATTTTAAACTAACCGGCATATAAATCGCAAGTTATATTATGTAAAGTATTCATTAGAGGGGCTTTTCCATCATCAGAAATAGTAATTTGCACAGCACTATTTGCAGTCCATGTTGTTGAGCTAAAAGGACTTAAAGTATTTATACCGGCGTAAGATAGAGATGCAGAGAGAATAATGATGAAGAGGGTTCCGATCAACTTCATTTTGACTAAGGAATGTTATTAAAATGTTGACGAGAATTTCGAGAATTTCTCGAGAACAGGAGGATTAATGGAGGGTTAATGTGAGGTTGAGGAGAAAGATAATAATCCTCGAACTGTTATGATGTATTTATAAATAAATTAATTTTAATTAATAAATGTATGTAAAGTGCGTAAGTACCAATAAGATAAACAATAATACCGCATATATAATGTTACACCTACGATTGATCACTATCTAATTATTAGTAGGATCTACCATAAATAAACGGATGAGTAAATTATAGTTGCACATTAAGCACAAACAATTACACATATTTCTTTCTAATGAACAAATAAGACGGTCTTTATTAAAATTAATGCATCTTGTTTGCATTAACAGATATGAATATTGGACGCATGATCCCGATTTAATAGACTAGGACACCGAAAAAAGCCATTACCCATTCTATTAATTCAAAATAACATGTAGAATTTTCTTATTAAAATTTTTAATGCATTAAGACTGTAAGAAAATACTAGATCAAAAATTTAAAATGATAATTGTTATTATATACAATATTATGTGAATGTACTATATCATAGAAATGGCATTTGCGTTTATTAATTGTATTTAACGTTGATGATAAGAAATGGACGCCGCATTGATGTACTAATTTAATTAGTGTAAATTTATTTTCCTTTTTTTCAAACATGTATATGTAGTTCAACGTTAAGTATGTAGGTAGGTATTCTGATTTCCTAAATAATATTGTACAAATGATGCAGTATCGGTATTAAAATTAAAATTATCTGCAAAAAATCATTTATTTGCAATTAAGTATTATAGTTCTACGTATTAACATTTTGAAAAACGATCCATAAAAATCTAAATAAATTTGTTTATCTTAATTCAATCTTTTAAAGATATACCAAGGAATACCATCATAAAAGATAATAAAAGAATTTTTTTCTTGGTAACCAAGAAGATAATAAAAAATTAATCTTTTAATTTAAATAAAATAGATTTTTGTAGATTTGTTAACCTTGTTTCACCCAAAATTATTCTCATACGTAGATTAATCCTTCTAATTGCAGAATTAGGGCTTCCTGGTACTGTATAATTTTAAAAAATGAATTACCTGGTGGCTTAAATTTTGTGCTAAGATAATCAAAAAAAAAAAAAAATACATAAAATTGTCCTATATAGAATAGTTAAACGAAATCGTTCAAGTTACCGTTACACATTTTGTTGATTTTAAATTCTTACGTACTTCAAAAATTTTCCGGTCCCGATCACATTACACTAGATTACAGATCAAAGCCATTTATAACTTAGTTGAACATTTAATGCCCTTCATCGCTCTCCGGAATGCGTTATTTTTTTATATGTTACCTGTAGGGAACCTGGCATGCTATCGCGGCAATGCCAAAATACATACAGTACATACGTACTTAAAATCTATTAAGGCATGTTTTATCGTTATAAAAAAAATCAAATTCATCTAATCTGATTGGTCAAACAAATTAATAATATTTTAGAATTTTTTTTTTTTTACGTATTGTGACATGACAGGGTGGCACTCTGGTATGCTATTTGCTAAATAACATGCCAAGTTATTTAGGTTTTATCATCAAAAACATATTATCGTTAAACAGGTACAGTTATGCAACATGGTCAGAACTTTGCATTCATATTATACGTACGACGTAGAAATTAGTACCGCAAATTAAAAGCTGAACCTGATTTTACGACACTTAAAACGGTATTATTTCAATATGAATTGAGTATGTATACGTAGTAAGAGATGACCTTCAAAATTGTGGTCTTGTGGTCAAAACCTATACATTCTATAATCTGATTTGAATGTCTTTTTTTTAGATTACTAGACTTCACCTTAAGTAATGCCCTTACAAATGCAGTCAAACCTTCCTAAGTGCACGTTCTTAGAATCAGAAATAAGCGCATATTCCAACTAGCAAATTAAAATAGATATTTATTTCCAAGAAGATATGCAATCATTTAAGAAATTTAACTGTAAACATAATTTAAATTCGGTTAGTAAAGATCAATTTAGATAGCAATAGTTCTAAAATTAGATAAGGCCTACATCAAATAAGTTATTAATAAAAGATTATAAATAGATTTTAGTAAATTGACGAATCCAAATAGAGATTCTATCGTCAAATTTTAACATTATTTTCATCATTCTTTGTTTATACAACTGCTAAAATTCTAACCTGTAAAGATTACAACTTTAAAAACAATATACGTATCAAAAACGGGTTCCGGTTATTTCGCCGACAGCTTATTCACCGACAGTCAATTCACCGAAAGTTTATTTCACCAACAGTTTATTTTACAGATAGTCATTTGTAATTCTGGTCATTGTCGTTAGGGTCAGGTTTAGAATTAGAGTTAAGGTTAGTGCAATTTTTTAAAAAAATTGTCGGTGAAATAACATGGATCCTTAAAAACAAACCACCATTTTCAGACCTGATAATTTAATAAATAAAAAAGCTATTAAATAATTAAAAAATGATAATTACTATTTGTACACGGGATATATGCACACAGGCGATATCAAAACTAACCGATATCTCAAAATTTCAATTATGAAACCATCTTTTGGCTTCTAATAAAAAAAATACCCGTGTATAATTATAAATTTTCTTAAAAAATTTAAGCATCACTGAAATCACTAAAAAGAAAAAAAATCACTAATCAGTTATTATCAGGTTACCTGGGTAATTATACATTTCTGTCTGACCAAAACTCCGGATTATTGTACTAGATTCGAAGCTAGTCTTTATCATCATTAATAACAACTGCAGAACCTGAGTTTGTCTTTACCATCTAGTGTAATACTGACTGTGCTACTCATGATAAATGATTCTTATTACAATAATCAGTGATCAGATTGTATAATCAATTGATAACTGATCAGCAGCTTTTACTGCATCACGCGTTCTACCCACTTTTTCAATTTCAGATTGACAGGAATAACTTAGGTAAAGTATTCTTGCTATCTTTACTAATTTGAGATTGTATATTCCGAATGTTACGGTAATAGAAACCTTACTTGATTAATAAAGACGTCATTACGTAAAATACTATAATTCTTAATTTAATGGGGGTAAAGTGGCGAATACAAATTAAAGATAGATTGAGTTTTATTTGGTTAATAATCGTTTTACACGAACCTGTACTTTTACTAAGTAAAATTGAACTTCATTCATTAAATAAATAAATGAAGATATTTCGGACAACTTAATGAAGTTTAATTCGCTTAGCAGTTAGTAAAAGGTCCAATTTTTTGCAATGTTTAATTGGTCATTTTACCTCATTTTCTATAATATCATAATATATCCCTTTACTTTATAATGTTTCGCTTACTACATAAAAGATTAGTGAAAATATATATATTATGTAATTAAAATTTTCCATCTTTAATCAGTCTGAAAAACCATGATAACTGATAAATGCTTGCGTATCATGTTACACTTAAATTTCGACTTTTTTAAGATGGTTGGTGATAACCCAAGTATGTACGTAACAGATAGACATTCATGCGCATGAATATCCGATCATACGTATGAATATCCGTTCTAAATGCGCGTTTCGGAATGATCATGCGCTTGAAAATCGGGATCATATATTTCCTAAATCGTCTGTACGACTAACGCTAAACTGTCATGATTTATCGTTATTATTAAAGCTTATGCCGTTACGGCATAAGCAGTAACAGCATCTCTGGCAAGTCACTTGCAACAAGGTTCAACAGCAAAGTCGCCCACTGCTCAAAGAAAGCTTACAATTTTTAACTGATATTCCCGAGGTCATGTCAAACCCAAGATCCAAAATCATTTATGATGCTGCTATGGATGTTTTGCATCCAGGATCGAGACTGAATGCGGTACGTACAAGATCCTTATATTCGTAAATGCAAAAACTTTATTTCAACCAATCAAAAATTTTAAACCTTCGTTTATTTATCAGAATAAAGCTTCGCATGATCCGATTTCGTTTCAATTAAGTTATTCCATCAGAGACAATGTTGTTACATTTAAATTTGACAGACCTCTGTTTGCCGCTATACCATCAGGTGAAGGAAAGACAACATTGCAATCACAAAACTCATCACTGTTTGCCGATTGGGAACAATTATTAGACAGTCAACAATGGGCCGAGTTTCAACGCTTATTACCGGATAAGAAGTGGGATGAAATCAATAATATTTTCAGTCTGATTCAGATCCCAACTGTCAATCCTAACCGCATCTACCTTGTCCATGGCTTCTCACATGTTCCATTGCATCTGAAGCAAAACTATTTAGGTGCATTTTTATTGGACAGAGGTACAAATATTCGTGAAAATGTTGGCAATCGCAAAACATTAATGAAAGAACCTCTGATATTTTTCCGCCCTACATTTTCTGCGCGTAATGAAGCAATCGTTGAACGTGCCTTACTGTTCTTAAATGATATACAACATTGACGTGGACGATCTCAGGTTACTTATTGGGGTTGATTAATCGATTAGGAATTTTTAAAACCAACTAATCGACGGTTTATTATCATTGACTATATAATAAATCTATTTACTAAATCTCAATATTTCATACATCTAGTATAAGTTCATTACTGCATTATCTAGTATCTATAATAATAAATTATTATGAAAATATCTGACTATTAAAACATTGTCCAAAAATTGACATAACGTCAATCTTGATTCTATACATAAATGTGCTTCACATTACTCCCTTAAGTTACTCAAACTCAGTGCTGATAAATTAGTCAAAAACATAATACGTAATAGGTAATCTACGGTAATTTATCATAAATTTTATAAATTACCGATTTTTAAAATCTACCTTTCGATATTTGAGCAATTCCTTATGATAGATAGTTCGACTTATAACCAGTACAATTGACATTAAAATATTTAATTTCTTTAAAAGACTTCTGGCCTTTTTTAATACTTTACTATTTTTAATCATTTCTTCTTTTCCCAACAGTTTTTACGAATCTTGCCATTATCATCAACACGACAAAGCTCAACAATTACCTTCTCTGCATTATTTTTCTTAATCTTGCAATAAGTGAATCTTCGATTAAGGGTAAAAATCACTATCATATGGGTTATTGCCAGGAATCGAGACAATTATAATAGTGAGTCACGTGAGCAAAGAGTCAGAGGGTTTATATATATAATGATTTGTCAATTCGAAAGAGTACATGTTTGGAGTTGGGTGTCCTTTATTAATTATAATGAATGTTATAGAAAACATGTCCATAAAATGAAGTCATAAGACTATGTGACCCTTAGATTATAAATATTTTAGTAATCCTTATGCTTAACGTTTAAGGACTTATCCCCAATTACTGTACCATGCACGACACTTCATGTTACTCACTTTGCATACTCGATGCAATTGGCGCAGTACATGTAACCTGTAACGCAATCTTTAATGGTATAAATATTGGTAAATTAATGTAAATTACAAAGGATATTACAAAATATAGAAATGGTACAAATAATATGAAAACAAATTACAAATTGAAAAATTAAATACGACCATCAAATAATACACAAAAGAAAGACAAGACAATCAAAAAAATATCCGACCACGTCAAACTTTATGCACCCTAATCTGAGAATGTTAATCAGCACAGTCAAATGTCAGTATTTCATATTTTTCATATTTTTCATATTTTAAAATATTTCATAAATTCTTCGTACTTATTTAATTTGGGACTTATAAGGGTGTCGAATATTCCCAAACACCTCCATATCCACCCACATTACCCAATTGCTCATACCAATCATTCGGTACGTTTTGAAGTGTCGAATTAATCGGTAATCCTGGTGCATTATATTCCGTCAATACACTGATAGTATCAGTAAGACAATTACTTGTAGGATCATTAAGTGCAGCAAAACAAACTACCCTATTTACATAATATTTTTGTGCTTTAACTTTTATCATCATATTTTGAGCATTTTCAGCATTAGGATTAGTTACTTTTTCACATTTATAACGATCATATTTTTGATCTTTAAATTGCTTTAACATTTCCGCACGGGTGCCAGTAGATTGCCACCAAACTTTATCATCACCACACAAGTGGGTGGAGTCATTGTGTATTGGTCCTTCATCTGCCCCATAAATATATTGATCATTACCAATCTGAAATCCAAAAGCAACATGTCCAAGTAGATAAGATGACAAAATTCGATTAAATACACAAGCCTCGCCAATTGGTTGTATTGTTGGTGGATTCGTAGAGATATCGCGGGGAACATATATAGATGCTGAGATTGAAATGAATCCCAAAAATGGAAGGATCAAGATGAACCGGAAATAATTAAATTCATACTAAAAATAAATGTCGATACGGTAAAATTTTTTTTTTGAAGATTCTTATTTATTACATTGAATGATCTCTTTAATAACAATAGAATTAAAATTAATTACCATTTTTTCGTTATTTTTTTATAGCGAAACAATGCTGAAAAAAAAAACATTTTATGTAGTATTTCGGTCAATTTATATTTGAATTCCGCTGAAATTGTAACTACCCCTGCATCGCCTTCAAAAATGTCACGAAAGACAGCAAATTGGTCAATAATAAATAGAATTTGGTGCACGTAACACTAGGAGGTGGTGTTTGTAGGCGATTTGCTTTAGTCGATTTTATCGACTTAGGCCGGCTTAGTCAATCGATTTTTCAAGAAATCGACTTGGTCAATTTTATGATAGATTATATAGTAACAAATCAAATTTAGACCAAATCAATAATTCGATTAGGTGGTTTACCTTTCAAAAAGTTCCGAAAAGAACATAAAATGTCAATTAAAATAGTCCATTTTTACATATAACCGATTTTGTGTAAATTAATTTTAAATAATAATCTTTAAATATTTTATAAATTCTTTTTATTATACACGTATAATTAGTTTTTGTAACTTAGCAAACGTTTTTTTATTAAATATATGAATCAGTCTTTACCGTTATAGTGCTTCGGGGACAATTCCTTAAATTGAGAAATCGATGTTTAATCAATTTTAATAATTCAGCTAAAATTAGAAACCTGCATATCACATGAATACTGCGCATAGTAATTTTATCTTTAGTGTTCATTAATATTAGTAAAATTGTCGTAATGAATTATATTGTTAACTAGAATATAGCTTGAATAATAATAAAATTATCATTATAAACTATATTTTTGACTAAGTGTGTATTAAAATATGTTAATAAAATTATATATAATTCACTTGTTCTTTTTTTTTAATTAATTTTCAAAATTTCGTAATGGAAGTTATTAATGATATAGAACAAAAAGATATATATAACATTGCATCTTCATTTGTTGAATTAGGAATGGATAATTATGATGAAACATATTATTTGACAAAATGTTTAGAAATTGTGAGATGTTGAAACAAGGATAATAAAACTTGTTATGAAAAGATAGGATTTTGTAAATTTTTTAAAAAACAAATAATATGTTATAATATGTTGCATGATAGTTTAGATAATATGTTGCATGATAGTTTAGATAATAGGATTAAATGATAATTTACATCATTTGCATTTAGTAAATTGTCAAAAAACAAAAAAAGTTAGTCAAAAATCATGTAATTATATTATTTATCAATATCATTATGATGCTCAATATATAGTATATTTACCTACTTATATAGTATTGACTGGAGTTTTTTCAAGTCACCTTGATCAAATTAAAATTATATATTAAAATAACAATACAAAAAAAATAGTTTATAGTAATATAGAACATACTTTTATTCAATCTAATTATATGACAATTAATGAAAAAATATTACAAAATGTTAATAATTTTATTTACAACTATACAAATATTTATAGATTTAGGGATGGGGTCCCATAGCCTAGTGGTCTAGGCGCCCCTCTCTCTACAGACAAGGTCAACGGTTCAATTTCAGCTGAAGGCAAAAACTCTGTAATCTACGGAAGCATATGAATATACGTGAAGCCCTGTAGCTTAAGTCCATGTGAATAGAAGATCAGTATATAAGGAAGTTCCTGGAAAGAAGTTTCCCGATATGGAGAGTTGGCGCTCAATGCGAGAGAAGCGGTGAACATACCAGAAATGGAGAGAAGGTGCACTAGCAGATGATACAGTGAATATAAAAGGAAACTATGAGAAAGGAATGGACTTACTGAAATTCGAACACTTCTGACATTAAAACTGATTTAGTAGATATGGGTTACACTAAGTCAGATCTAAGTGGTAATCTTGGTACCAGCTTAGTAAGCTTGCATCGAGGGTAAATTCGAAGAAATATGGATACTTAGTAACATCCAATGAGGTGGTACTTTGATATAAATAGAAACTAAGATAGCCCTAATTCAAAATGTCACTACAATGGTAATGTAAGTATTGCAGATATATACATAAATAGTATTGAAAATCAGAAAGTTTAAATAGAGAACTTACAGGTGGGTCTCAGGTATAGCATCTAGTGGGTAATCTGTGGGTGGAACTCTTAATTAGATAATGACTAAAGTTATATGTGTGACTAGTTGTACTTTTATTGATGTACTATGTATATTATATGTAATCATATATTACTTAATAAACGATATGCAGACAAGATTGCCACTTTAAAAAAAAAAAAAATAGATTAAATATAAATTATTTGATTTTTATAAAATAAAATATAAGATTACTAGAATTATTTTAGTAATAATTATAAATCTTACTAATAAAATTTTAAAAAAATAAAAAATTTAAAAACCAAAAAACTTAAAAATTAAAAAATATAAAAAAAAAATATAAAATAAACAAAAAAAATATAAAATAAAAAAATAAAACAATTTAAAAAAATAAAAAAACAAAAAAAACAATAAAATTTATATATTTATACAAACTAAATTAGTATACAAAATTAGTTAGATTTAAAGTATGAGTTAGATAGATTTATAGTTAGGTATCAGAAAATAATTGCTAAAAAATTATATAAATTCAAGCTAACTGTTACATTTATAAACTTAATTCTACACTTGGTATACAATATATAAAAATAAATATTTAATAATGATGATTATTTAACTACTTATGTTACAATATAATTATTTGCAATTTGGATTAGGTATATTTTCTTTATTAAAAAAATTGGCAGATTTAAATATTGAAAATATATTGAAGTTACTATAATTTTTATTAGTCATAAATTATATTTTTATTAACAAAATTATTAAAAACAGGCATAACATTATTTTGAATTTTGTCATAATTAAGCATAATTTAGGTAAAATTCAAAATAACATCTATATCTGCTATTTTAATAATTTATAATAAATAAAACACTTAATAGTTTTACTTTAAGTTCCAAAATGCATTTATCTTAGAATGAATTAAATAATTAAAATTATTGCTGCTATATATTGCTTACCTCATAATATTTGGAGTTCTTGGAATTTTACTTGTTAATTTATATTATTCAACTTATCTCTTAATACTAAGCATTTTTGAGTATAGTTTTTTGGAGGAAGATAGTTGATAAACATTTGCAAACTTGTGCACTTTAGCTAAGTTAGCAATAATAGTTGATATTTGTGAGATGAAGATGATTATATTTTTATATATAATAAAATAAAGCTCCAGTTCTTCAATAATAAGCTTGAGAAGAATCAACATATATTTCTGAAAAACTTCCTTTTGCAGTTTGCAAAAGTTATCAAATTGCTTTATTTTGAATCCTTAGCTTTCAAAATTGAAAGATATCTAATTAATGCTTTAGATTTTGGTTTGTTTCACAGATAATTTGGAATGTTGTCAAGGTTTAAAAATATAGGATGCTCTAAAGACTTTTCTATATGTCTAGAGTTGTAGTATCTGAATAAAAAATAAGTAATAATATATGTTGTTCAAGAAGTAATGCTAATTTTTCTCATTTTTACTAATTATTATAGAATTGTTTTTTGAAAACTCAATATTTTACATTCCTTCTTATTTCTATTTTATATTCATATTGAAGAACTAGTAACTAGTAAATATTATCGATTATTAATAAAGACTTGATAGTTTTATTAATAATTAATAAAAAAATGTATATCTAACATTTTCAAATATTTTAACAATAACTTCTTAAACATCATATAGAGAACAATAGAATTATCATGAAATTCCTTTTCAGCTTTAGTTATTAGTGAAAGTGGTAAAATATTCAAATTGAAAAATTTGTTAAAGACATTTATAAAAGTATCACTAGCTGAATTTGATAGATGATACTTATTAATTATCTCTATAAACTCTCAATAGGTATTATTAGGCTATTCAACTTTTGGTGAATAATGCAAGTCATAAAAAGCATTATCAAAAGAAGCTTCTTTATAGTCTTTGAGATCATCTTTATTAGACTTAGTTTCTAGATGCTGCAATTTATTAATAACATCAAACAATGCATTTCTATAGTCTTTAGGATTATTTTCATCATCTACCAAAAAAAACATAGTATCTGTTTCAAGACATTCAGTTATTATAAAAGAATGCTCAACTGAATTTAATTCAGATTAAGATGATATTGAGATATTTTTACTCTATATAAAATATAATCAATATATTTTATTTTACAACTATTATAAATTTACTTTTACATATTGTCTTGAAATAACAACTAGGTGTAGTTCAAAATTTTGGCCTGAATTAAGCTTTATTTAGACCAAAATTTTAAACTATACCTAGAGCATTATTTTAAGACAATATAATAAAATAATAATAATAATAATAAATATTATTAGATAATTATACATAAGTACATCAATATATTTCATAATCTGTAGAATGTTCATAATTAGAATCATATTCTAAAAGATTTTAAATATTATCATTCACTTGTTCAATATTAACTATTTGATTTGTGAAATCTTAAAAATATAAATATCTTTGTGAAATATGTTGCGTTAATATGTAAAATTTTGTAAAATTACAATTATAATACTTATACTGCCAACACATTTTGGAAGAAAAAAATAAAAAAAAAATTAAATGAAATAATAATGATTTCAATTAGAAAATAAAAAGGAACAACTAAAAAAAATCTATCAGTTATAAAGATTAGAATAAGGTAGTAAGCAATTAAATCTTTTAAACAAACTTATTGATATATATTGATATATATCGAATTTTTATTTTATTAAAAGTATATTGCAATGGTTTATCCAAGATACTTAACATGTGTGTTATATTATGCTTGATGCAACAACATGAACAACAGTCTAGTTTATATTATGCATCATATAATAGTATAAATTTATCTTCAATATAAGTGCCACTAAGAGAATCCAGTAATCTGAATTACAATTTAATAGTTACTGACTATAATCTTTAATAAGTTGTTAAAGATTATGGCCAGTAACTATTAAATTAAAACCCAAATTACTGGTATCTCTTGGCAGCAATCATATTATATTAAGGTAAAAATACTAGT